GCGTAACTGATAAATCCTTGTGGTTCGCTTAGTTTCAATTTGTCAAACTTTCCGAGTTCCCTGATGAACGCTGACACCACATATTTGGGTTACCATATGTACGCACCAATCCAAGTGTTGCCTGTTCGTATTGAGAAGAGTTGATTCAGTAGCTATCTATTAAGGATTTAGCATTACCAGTACATAATGGTTGCAATAAGTAATTTTCTCAACAGGCTTAGTTGTGGGTTGTTGCCTATCGCAGTCTGAAAGAGTTCAAACCAGTTGTTCCACTCCAGTGGGTTGCCGTCAAATTGTAGTTTTATGTCCGGCCACTTGAATCCTTTCATACTGTAGGTGATGCCAGTAGTCGGATAATTGGTAACGTTGTTGTTGACTTGTCTTTATTCGTTGCCGGAAAGACTGTTGCGTTGGTGGTCGTGTGATTGCGAAGTAGTCCAATGGGGATCGTTGAAGTGGTTTTCAACGAACTGTTCAGATGAAGTAACTGGACTATTCGCAGTAGTTGTTAGTAGAGCATATCTGTTATTGCCAGTTGACATCAGGGCTTCCTGTCTTGAGTTGTCGTTCCAAGTAGAAATTTCATTGTAAACTGGTGGAGGCGAGAAGTTATATCAGAAGTTAAAGAAAAGCGCGAAAATACCCAGGTTTCCAGAAGGTGAGACTGATATGAAATCAGTTGCAGAGGTAGTGGCGACACCGTTGATTATTTGATCTATAGCTCTGTTAATTCCTCGTAGAGGTAGGAAACTAGCGTTGACTAGCGTCTAATTCGAAAGTAAAAACCGTAGTTGGACTTGTAAAATAAAAAAACGACAGCCGGAGTTTTGATGACGCTGTTGACCAAGTTTTCAGTGGTATTTGAGCTTCCTACAGGTACAGTGGCTGTTGCAGATGTGCCTAGTTTTCTGAGTGCGCTGTTTGACCTTGTGGAAATTGAACCATCGTTTGTTGAGACCTTTCCGTACTACCTAACATTGATTAGTAGGTCGCACTTTCGTTTTCATAGCGTTGAAGGTGTCGAGGCAGTCTTCTGCTTCTTGAGTGGAAAAGGTGTCCAAGTCGTCTGCGAATTTATCGAGCAAGTCGCAACAAATGCTTACCTCCTCGAAACTAAGCTTAACATAGTCGATTTTGCTTGAGTTGGCTATTTGCCTCGTTACGTTTTCCTCAAGCTCCTCGAAAGTACTGTAGCGGCGTCTCCATTGATTAGGCAGTTGTTGTAAGGTTGGCTTCGTTGGAGCTATGAGGTAGTTTAAAGAGTATTTCGTATATACTTTCGTAGATGTGGTTTGTAAATCGCTTTTTAATTATGAGTGAAGGAAATAATAAGGCTTTTGAAAATTTGAAGCACGAACTTCAGGCTAAAAATATTTGACTATCGGGTTTTGTCTTAGTTTTTTTTTGTATACGGGAACCTGTTTTTTTTTCGTTAAGTTCTACCTTAGTACCCTTAGGATTAACAAAACAATGAACATTAAAAACTCAAATCTGAGGTTGTATAAATTTTTTTTAACAAGAAAAGAAGCACAAAAATTAGCACAATTCAGACGGGATCCTTGAGATTGGCTCTGAAGATGCTCCTGGAACCGTGTCCTGCGAAATGGTCTAAGAGATCGCGTTTTGAGGATAGGGCGTGGCACCTTGAGATGGGGTCCTCATGACGAGCTCTGAAGTTGGGACCTTCAGATGGGGTCCTTGAGATTGGCCCCCGAAGTTGGCTCCTGAGATCGGGTCTTGAAGATGAGCCCTGAGATTGGGACCCTCAGATAGTATCCTAAAGATTGGCACCAAAGATGGGTCCTGAAATTGAGTCCTCCAAATAGGTCTTGAGGATCGCGTTCTGAGGATAAAGCCTAGGATTGGCACCTTGAGATGGGGTCCTTAAGACTGAGTCCCTTTAGATGAGGTTTGCTTAGTATCAATTTGTCAAACTTTTAGAGTTCCCTGATGAATGCTGACACGACATTTGGGGTTACCGTATGTACGCACCAATTCAAGTGCTGCCTGTTCGTATTGAGAAGTTAATTCCGTAGCTATCTATTAAGGATTTAGCATTTTCAGTACACCATAAAGTTTGCAAGTAAGTAAATTTCTCAACAGGGCTTAGACGTGGATTGTTGCCTATCGCAGTCTGAAAGAATTCAAACTATTGTTCCACTCCAGTGGGTTGCCGTCAAACTTTTGTAATTTTACATCCGGTAACTTGCATCCTTTCAAACTGTAGGTGATACCAGTAGTCGGGTAATTGGTAACGTTGTTGCTGAATTGTTTTTATTGGTAACGTTGTTGCTGACTCGAAAAGACTGTTGCGTTGTTGGTCGTGTAATTGCGAGTTAGTCCTATGATTATCGTTGAAGTGGTTGGCAACGAACTGTTCAGATAACATAACTGGACTATTCGCAAAAGAAGTTGTTAGCAGTACATATCTGTTATTACCAGTTCACATCTGGGCTCTCTGTGTTGAGTTGTCGTTCCAAGTAGGATTTTCATTGGAAACTGGTGGAGGCAAGAAGTTGTATCATAGAGTAGCGCAATAATACCCAGGTTTGCAGTAGGTGAGACTGATACGAAATCAGTTGCAGAGGTAGTGATGACACCATTGATTAATTTATCTAAAGCTCTGTTAATTCCTCGTAAAGGTGGGAAACTAGCGTTGAGTAGCGTCTAATTCGAAAGTACAAACCGTAGTTGGACGTGTAAAATGAAAAGTCGGCAGCCGTAGTTTTGATGACGCTGTTGACAAAGTTTTCAGTGATAATTGAGCTTCCTATTGGTACATTGGCTGATGCAGATGTGCCTAGTTTTCTGAGTGCGCTGTTTGACCTTGTGGAAATTGAACCATCGTTTGTTAAGACCTTTTCGTACTTCCTAACATTGATTAGTAGGTCGCAATTTCGTTTTCGAAAGCGTTGAAGGTGTCGAGGCAGTCTTCTGTTTCTTAAGTGGAAAACGCGTCCAAGTCGTCTGCGAACTTATCGAGCAAACCGCAACAAATGATTACCTCCTCGAAACTAAGCTTAACATACTCGATTTCGCTTGAGTTGGCTATTTTCCTCGTTAGCTCAGGAATTTATCGGGGCCGATAAATTCCTGAGATTGGCCCCGAAATTGTAAGATTGCTTTCATTGGATCCATTACAAAAAAGTAGACTTAAGAGAAGTTGTTCAGTAAACTATGTCGGCTTAGATTTTAAGAGCTCGGATGGCAGCGATAGCTCAGTATTTCTGTTAAATGAAGCTTTGAGTTTTCTTTAAAAAATTACTATAATTAATCTTGACTTTTTTTGTTGAGGTCAACCAACCCTAGGGTTAACTCGGTGGATAAGTAAATGAAATGAGATACAGTTCACGCAGTCATCAGCGCTTTGAATTCTGGTTAAAGACTAAGCGGTGAAACTTTTGAAGTTTTTTTTGGAGTTCGATTGAGTTTTAAAAAATTTGAGACTTTCAAAAAATTTCGTATATACTTTCGTAGATGTGGTTAGTAAAACCATTTTTAGTTGTGCGAGTTAAGGAAATAAAAGGAAATCAAACTTGTTTATCACAGTTCTATCTGTTTTTAATTGCTTTCCAGTTTTCCTATTTTTAATGTGCTTTTAATTTTTACAATTTTGCTATTTTTTAGTTACTGATGATGTCATAATGTCGAAAACGTTTTACGATTGATGTTTTTTCCCTCAGATCAGGAAATAAAAAGGCTTTTAAAAATTTGGAGCACGAGTTTTGGGCTAAAAAAAAACATTTGGCTATCGGGTTTTGTCTTAGTTTTTTTTTTGTATATGGGAAACCTCTTTTTTTTGTTAAGTTCCACCTTAGTACCCTGAGGATTAACAAAAAAATGAACATTAACAATTCACATCTGAGCTTGTAGAAATTTTTTTTAACAAGAAATGTAGCACACATTTTAGCACAATTTAAGTTTTGAACTATAGCATGAATATGGGTAGAACGTTCTTTTTTTAAATCATTCAACTTTTTGGTCTGAAATTTTTGTAGAATGACTATAATTTCTCAGGTTTAAGCACAAAATTGGTACAAAAAATACTTTCAAGATGGATCTCGCCTGAGTTTTTCAAGTTGAGATGTTGAGGTCCGGACCTTCAGATGGGGTCCTCGAGATTGGCCCCGGAGTTGGACTCTGAAACAGTGTCCTGCAGATAGGCCCTGGGATTGCGTGCCAAAGATAGGACCTCGGATTGGCACCTTGAGATAGGATCCTTAAGACTGGGTCCCTTCAGATGCGGTCCTGAGATTGGCCCCGAAGATGGTCCTGGAGATAGGTCCTGAGATTGGGAACCTCGGATGGGGTACCTTAAGATTGGCCCCGAAATTGAGTCCTGGCGATACGTCCTGAAGTTGGGACCTTCAGATAGGGTCTTTGAGATTGGCCGTAAATTGATTGCTGAAGATAGGTCCTGAGCTTGGGACATTGAGCTATGGTCGCCAGATATTTAAGACAAGATATTGATTTTTTATATCTTAACTTGTTTCTTAGTTGCTCACAGAAATCAAATATATTACTAATTAGTTTGCAATAAATCATGACATTATTAAATGATTTTACCGCATTTTGCGAGAATAAACGTGAGACAAATTCAAGTACGGAATAGCATCAATCAGTAAATTTTCTACTTCGCTGGGAAATCTGACAAATTCCACTTTTGAAACTATAAGTCGATCACAATTTTTGTGAACTTTACACTACTGCTGTTCGATAGTAGAGTTTGCCCTAAAGAAAGGAAGTGAACTGAACTTGAAAAGAGATCAAGAGTCAAACCGCGTAAAAAAATTGAGCCTGAACAAATTTTAAGACTTTGCCTGAAAAAACATTATCACAACCTGTATGAGAGACTGAACTACGGTGATCGACTCATAAACAACGAACGTAGTACCTCAAAAACTGTAACTAAAACAAGTTATTCGGGTAAAAAAAGATCTATCAAAAAAAATATTTCAAAAGATTTCGGACACAAGGAACTTTCAGGGAGAGAAGTATACCTTTTGACCATTGTAGGTTGATATGAAAGGCTGTGGTTTTTTCTTTGGAGTATTCTTCGGTGCACCCTTCGGACTTTTCGGCCTTCCTCTTGGCCTAGGCAGACCTTCATTTGGAGAGCACGATGACCCCGTCGAATTTGACCCTTTTCGTTTCTTAGCTACCGACGGCGCATTTGCTGCAAATACTGCACTATTTTGAGGTTGCACCTGCGATGTCATTACAATTCCTGGTTGCTGGATTGAACTGCTCTGACACGGTATTAAATGAGGTTGCGATTGGTTAGTGTAAATTGAGGACGCACATTGATATTCAGGGTCCATGCATAGTCCGGTCGATTGCAGTTGAGCTAAGGATGTGTATGACGAGATTCCTCTGCCACCGCCTTGATCCTGTTGCAACTCTTGCGTCGGAAAAAGAGATGTGTTCAGCTCTTCGGCTTTGAGCTCTTCTTCTGATATATCGGCTAGATGCAATGCGGCCTTAATAAAAACTCGGAAGATCAATCAAATAACAGGTCGTTATAACTTTCATCCAGATCAGCCAACCCTTCGATTATCTGTCTTTTACACATATGCATCACCGTGGGGAATTTTTCCCTGTTAACTTTTTATGTTTATCCAAAAAAAAACTAGAGTAGTCGCAATTCAAACTGGTGCAACCCCTTTGGAGTTATATTTAAATTCACGTTTTACATTTTTTGTATTAAACATTGCTGTAAAGTATTTATTGCAAATCATATTCCATAACTAACTTTTATATCTATAAAAGACCTGACTGTTTGCAGTCACAGACAGCTTTGAGATAATATGGAATAAAGTTATTCTCCTACTAATCGCGTTTTACCCGGTATTTTATTAATATCTGAGGCCTAGAAATCAAGAGTAAGATAAAGATCGGTTTTAGACTACGGAGTTGCACGAAACTATACGGCCGAAAATAAGATAGCGTGACAAACAGACGGTGTACCTAATCAGAAATTACTCTGAGTTAGCCCCAACCTTGGCCGGATCAACTCACTAAGTTTATCTTAAAGCGTACCTGCAGAATGTCCATCTCATTGCCAGAACGAGCTGTTGATGCAATAGGTTGCTGATGATACATGGTATTGTGCTTCTGCTGCTGCTCTTCACTGTTGGTGCAAGTTTGCGGCTGTTGAGTATGAGATGAATAGGTCATAAAAGGTCCCATGGTGATGAAGGATTCTGCAGCACACGTTGCAGATGCATTCACGTCCATCTGATTCCCCAGCTGAGAACAAAAAAAATTTATTTCTCCATAAGTTATAACAAACAACATCAGCATATAACAAATATATATTTACAAGAAATGGAAAAATTATGCCAATATTATGAGCACCAGACTTTGGAGTGGATAGACAAAGGGCACAGAGAATGTCCACTTAGAGTCTACCTAATGAAAAAACTTCAAGATTCATTTTTTTAAATTATTAGTAATTAAAACTTTTTTAGTGATTATTAAAATTTTCTCGAAAACTACAAGGATTTGAGATTTCAAATTTTCAGCCCTGATTTGCAAGCCTAGTATAATTGTCTGACAGCACTTTACCAAATGGGTAAAAATTTTAAGCTTTAATTTTTAAAAAGCTTTTCGCGGACAAGCGCTGTTGCGCCAATGCTTTAGAACTCTATAAATTTTGTTGGCTATTTTTCTGGGCTGGGTCATGTTGCCTCACCCTCAAGCAAGGAGCACGGCGGGTCTCGAATATCAGACCTTTCGATTGAGAGGCGGAGACGTACCCAGTTCACCACCACTCCCGAAATAACTTCAAACTGATGAAAAGCAGCTGCTTTTAGGTCATATCCCGCAGTGAAAAATAAGAAAATAAATAACAATAAGCTCTCTGCCTCGTATCACCGCTCTCTTCTAAATTGCAAACAATTTCACCTCTGTATGCACCAAAACATGATCTTCAATTAACCATTTCGCCTGATTCGGACGAAAACAAAAAAAACTTGCAAAATACAAAAACTATCATCTCACCAAGATAGCTGTCTCAATCGTGCTTTGGTGATCCATATTTCAGCTTGAATCTTCTTTTCACTTAAATAAAAAAAAAACATTTCACCAGCAGCATCTTAATTTCAAAATACAAGCATAAGTGAACAAGAACTCCGGCCAAAAATGATTCTATGTCACCGCAATAGTTGAAATTTAAAATTTAAATTGATCGCTTAGAAGTATTATAAATTGCTTATGATTTGATACATGTTATCGAAGCAAAATTTTGTACAACATGATGTCCAAGCGATTCAGTGGCAAATCGAACTCATTTTTTTCACTCTGGAGCAACAAAACAAAAAAACAGTAACTTTTGACGAATGAGAGCCGACAAAACATTGGTAACAAAATCCAAAAAAAGAACAACTAACCTGTACATTTAAAGATAAGCTACAATTGGTTTGTTGCTAGGAATATTTTATCCTTTCGAATTCTATTTTAATTTTTTTCAGTCATACAGAAAAAGAATCGCGCGCAACGTGAATTGTAAATTGTAATACTCAATGTGCATTTAGCTGAAATTTTTACTTTTTCCACTTCTACTTTCTAATGCATTCTGTAGCTTAACCATGAGGCTACATACCATTTGCAAAAAAAGTGATGACCTCTTTCTATTCTCTTGCTTTAAGCCACATATTTACAACAGGATGCATAATGAAAGACTAGCTGCGAATATGCATTGGTAAAGAGAACGATAACTCCTTCTCATCCACGTTTGCAGAAATTTTCACAAGATGACATACCGCCTGAAGTTTAGAAAAAACATGCTCGCGTCGCTTTAAGAATATCCACATTCTTTTTATGTAAAATAAAGAAATTCATTGATTGAAGCTAAGACAATTGGTTGATATTCATATTGCAAAAAATTCGGTGATGGGTGGGGATTTGTAAATTACGCTCATAACTCTAACTGATATCATGCTACCACAATCTGGAAATTAGCTAGTACCTTTGCACTTATGCTGCTTTCAAACGTCGTGTTAATAAAAAATGAAAATCAGCCCCCGATAACTTGACATTGGGACTATTTACATATTATTGGATTTCGAGACATCCATTTCTTTAATTTTATCTGGGGCGCCGCAAAATCCGTTAGGAATGGCCATTGATTAGTTGGGAATGGTAAAAAGAATTATTTTTTTAAATTCTAAGCTTCAAGTAAGTTTCAAGCAATCTGTTATATTCCTTAAAAAAAGTGATTTGTTCAATATTTTCAAGCTTTTTTCCAGACCTAGAGCAGCTTTACCAGTTTTAACAGGTTTTACCGGCTACTTGTATAGTATGTCACTTGTGTTTAAGATAAAAAAGGCGATGGTTGTAGCTGCCAGTTCCTTTTTATACAGCTTGAAGGGCCTCGAAAGGAAAGAACGTAGGGAGACAGAACATTAAATATATGCAGACCCCGGTCTCTTTTTGAATCCTAGCGCTGTGAACTGGGGGTAAAATCTACGACTGCAACATCTGACCAACAACAACAACAACAACAAAACTTTTATTTATATCGGATAAAACATCCAATACATATTTCCAAATTAAGTGACTCTGTATTTTCCCTTCGAGAGTTGTTTTTGTTCCGACTTTCGTAACATTAATAAGTAAATTCAGGAGCTTGGCGTTTACCCGCGGGCTTATAAAATGCCATACATACAAAATAACAGAAACAAATTTACAATGACGCCAGATACACAGAAAAACGTTACCAAATTTGCATAGAACAGAAAAAACACGCATGAGCAGTACCGGGACAGGAGGAGGGTGGAGTTATCTTTTTGCAGGACAACTGACAGCTGTTGCCTAAGATAGCAAGCAGCTTACCCGGGGTCGGCACAGGCAGAGCGCGCTGCTGCCATCGAAGCAATGAGACGAATGGTTTTAGCGGCAATGGGCGACCACCCACCAAGGGCCTCGACAGAGTGGCACAAACGAGATGCCAGCTTCATCGGCACTAGTTCCAAAACTTTGCAAAGTAGATGACTGCAGGGAACTAATGACAGTCAAGTCCAGAGCGGCTGGACGACCTCGAGACCGACAGGGGAGATAAATGTCTCCCGGGCGAGAGCGAGAAGAAGTGAGATTGGCTTTTTCTAAAACGGGGGAGAGAGCTGCCTTAGTGGCGCTGTTGAAAACGACATCGCACAGTTTGTCATGGCGCGATATCCGGTCTCTGTCGGCTGCGCAAGCGAGGGCGTGATCGCCAAACGTATCTAGAGTCCTGGAACATTTCGGGCACGTAGACTCGCTGTTGAGTAGGGGAACTCTGAGTCGATAGCAAACTGCAAAACGAAACTCGGCTGCAGGAAGGGTTAACCCTAGCGCCTTCAGAGGACTGCCGAAAGCCAGTCACCACTGTTGGGGAGCGAACAGGAGAGCAGTCTGGCTGTGTCTCGGGGCGTAGCGGCGAATGACGTGAGCTCGGACCAAGACTTGGAATCAAGTACGCTTGAAAAACTCATTTGTGCTTTGAGGGCCATTAAAAGAATGTCAGTGTTGTCACTGAGAAACTCGCCGCGAGGGAGGACGAACAATTCAATACGGTGGAGGGCACCGTGTTGTTGTGAAAGATCCGGTCAGAGAGATATTTGGTGTCAATGTAGCACCCGAGGAAGGCCACTGGGGCGATCGAAGAAGAAATTTGAAGTCCGAGGCCAACTTTAGCCACAGGCAGTGAACACTGCAGGCGTTTAGACGGCGACAGGGCTGAACCAGTAATGGACTCGAGACATAAGTGAACGGCATTGTCAAACTGATCTAGACAGGTGCTAACGAAAGTAACGGAATATTTGTGCTCGGGTGGGTTTTTTTTCTTCAGACAAATTTCGACTTTTTAACTAGCCATTTTTGACGGAATTTTTTTAAAATCAATCAAAAGCTATTGTTGTCCTGAGCTTAAATTTGAAAAGACATTTCACCTGTGATCATTTTTCGTAAATTTATGGGGGTTTAAAAATTGCCATTTTGGCCAATTTGGGACAATTAACACGCGATATATTTCGCGCTATTAACGCGTAAGCGGAGAGCTAATCCGTTTTAGAAAATATTCCAAATCGGTTGAAAGAAGCTTATTTGCCATAATTGATTTGATACAATGAGCGAAATCAATTCTTTTGTACTTTAAATGGCGTGTGGGGGGATGATTTCAAAAAAAACTTCAAATTTTAGAACTTTTTTTTTTTAATTCATTTATTTTTTATGTTAATACTGCTCCATAAACCTTAAAAGGTAGTCGAAACATTCAGGGCTTCGCCCTGATATGAGCAGTCTTGTTCCACTTTAGTCTACATAACTCCAGCTTTTCTGGGTGGCAGCGTATCCGCGGCACAATCCGTTCTGCGTGGTAGGAGATGATATAGTCGATGGAGATACCCGGTCACGGTTATTTTGCGTAGCAAGGCCTGGTCAGACTTGCGGATAATTTCGCAAATAGGTTCAATTTCGTCAATAATACCAAAAAATCGTGCTTAGTTGTGAACTCGGTCTATTTAACTCGGTTCTGAACTCGGTCTATTAGTTCTGAACTCGGTCAAAAACAATTAAAGAGAAAGCGTAAAACCGAGCAAAATAGTATATAACTAAGCCAACGCCAAAACAAATTTACTTGAGAACAAAAAAATACAAACAGTAAAAAATCTAAAAAAGAACAACAGTAAAAAAAAAAGTAAAACGACAGGTTATATATTATTTCCGGACGGGATGGGATCTGACCTTCCTATTGTTGATGTTTCACATTGATTTATATCATTTATGATCGAAAGGTCGAGTGTTTTGGTGGTTGGTAAGGTACCCTCCCTCGAGTGTTGTTTGAGTATTTAAGCACGTTAATGACAAAGTTGCTGGTGGCCGGAGGGGTGCATCAGGGACGGGTTGCCGCTCATTAAATAGTTTCACATAACGTTATGCCTGGATCGTCAGCTAGAACTCGACTAGCATCGAAGCAGCAGGAGTGCTGCACCATATGTAACATGTCGAAAGGGGAGAACTGGATCTAATGCGAGAGGTGGACACATAATACTTGCATGGGATATTCGAAGGATGAGTTCAAGTTTTTGGAGAGGGCAAATATGACCTTTACATGTAGCAGCTGTCTACAGAGCCCTCCAATTGATGCAATTGATACAAAGGAAATGAGCAGGGATATCACGGAGCTCAAGGAGAGTGTGGAAAGTACTCGGACTATGGTGGAGGAAGTTCTCTCATGTAGACAGCCCCAGCAAACCGTAGCTAAGTATAGCGATGTTGTTAAAACGAAAATTGATTATGACCATGAGTTAAGTTTCAAGGGTATACCTGAAAATAAGGATGCGGAAAATAAAAGTACAGAAATTTTTGAGCCTGATGATTCACGCGCGATATATTTCGCGTTATTAACGCGTAAGCGGAGAGCTAATCCGTCTTAGAAATTAGTCCAAATTGGTTGAAAGAAGCTTATTTGCCATAATTGATTTGCTACAATGAGCGGAATCGATTCTTTGGTACTTTAAATGGCGTGTGGGGGGATGATTTCACAAAAAAAACTTCAAATTTTGGAACTTTTTTTTTTCATTTTATTTTAATTCATTCATTTTTTTATGTTACTACTGCTCCATAAACCTTAAAAGGTAGTCGGAACATTCAGGGCTTCGCCCTGATATGAGCAGTCTTGTTCCATTTTAGTCTACATAACTCCAGCGTTTCTGGATCGCAGCGTATCCGCGGCATAACCCATTCTGCGTGGTAGATGATATAGCTGATGGAGATACCCGGTCTCGGTTATTTTGCGTAAGGCCTGGTCAGACTTGCGGATAATTTCGCATATAGGTTCAATTTCGTCAATTATACCAAAAAATCGTGCTTAGTTTTGAACTCGGTCTATTTGATCTGGTAAATATGAAAAGGTACCAATAAGAAAACAATCCCCTAGCACGATGCGCTGAACAGCAGCTTATTCACTCACCCAACAAAGCATGGGAAAAAAGAAACGGAAACAATGGATTGAAAATCAATATCCGACAATCTCTCATTTCTGAGGTTTTGTTTGGGAAATGACATAATACCTGATTTTTTGAGATCTCGGGCTTCCGAAAAGGGAGTTTGTTTCGGACTAAGCGCTCCACTCATTTTTTGTTGTTTAAACTAAACTTTTTTAAAAGTTTGACAAGCGAATTAAAAATAATTACGAAAAAGGAAATAAGTATAAGAACAGCGGCTGAAAGGTGACAAGAAGGACGTTGCACAGAATGGATCATTCGCGTTTTGCTAGAGAGTTATTTATGGAGAGTTATAGAGGTATATCTTCGTTAAAATCGTCCGACTCCTCATTTTCCGGGACCCTCTTATCCATAATAATGTACTTCTTGTAATGCAGTTTATTCGTGTTCGCAGCCAGGAGATCGTTTCGGAGTAGTGTACCACGCTTATCAGATGTCAAGACCGCTAATTGAGAAATGAATGATGAGGTCAGGCTATTGCAGTCACCGCTTATAGAATTTTTTTAAAAGGGGGTCAATTAAAATGGGCCGTTCCGTCATGCGACGGTACGTGCACAGGTTGGATAGGGCCATACCAACGCTATATAAATAGACAAAATTTTATGAATAAATCAAGTCTATTTTAATGCATCAAGAGAATTGTCAATTAAAATCTACCCTCCTCGATTACAGCACAGATAGAATTGTCTATGTTGGATGTATTTTTAAGTTTTTAGCACCCCCTAAAGCAGAGGATTGCACTCCTCAGCACCACTTATAGAATAATAAAAATTACAAAA